GGAGGAGGTGGCGGCCGCGCTTTTTTTCGAGAGCCGAAGGAGCGAGGAGAAGACCCTCTCAAAGTCCGTGGCGGAGGTTTAGGGAAGCTCGTGGCCGCAGGCGGTTATTGCGCCCTTTAGCGCCTATCGCGGTTAGGGAGATCGGATCTTTGATCCCGCCATATATTCCCGCGTGCGGAGCCAGGTCGGCGTTATTAACGGACGAGGCCGGCCAGCGAGCTAATCAGCGAGACATGGCCAACGTTTCGCTCGACAAGGATACGTTTTTCCGGCGTATTAAGCGCTTGTACGGCGCTTGGAAGGTAAGATTTTCGTGATTTAGCCTGTCGTCGCTTTTTTTAATTACACGCGACACCGCGGCTTTCTAACCACCAAAGCCACGGTCCTCACCGACGCATCTCCCAACCTCTCGCCTAATCTCGTTGGTCATTTTTCAGGATGGAGAGGCCGGCAGCGATGACAGCCTTGGCAAAATGGATTGCCTCGTCTCGGTCGTTGGGGCCGACGAGGACGTTGTTTACAGCAAGTCCACGGCTCTCCAGGTATACACGATTCCCCAATTCGCGGCTACTTAATCGATGAAGGATTTTGGCAGCGAAAGCCTTGTGACGCACAACGATGTTGTATAAGTATCGCGGGATGAATATTCTGCCCCGATGCGATTGAAATTGGTGTAATTAGCGGAAGCATACGCGTACGGGACTATTTGCAGAGTGCATATGCCAATGGTGGCTAGTCGATGATGCAGCAGACGTGTAAATTAACATTGGACAGTTGTCGGAGAGGGAGTAATGCTTTAAAAAAGTTTCAGACTTTCCAAATTTTGCATTCTTTGTCGCCCCGAGGCTTAGCTGTCGGTACTTGGTATTGTAAAACATATGCCCTAGTACGAGGCTATTGTTGACATTATGGTTTGGTTTCTCGTATACAGAGCATGTTTGATACATTCGATCTAACCATTAGGCGGTATTAGATTTGTCTTTGTCGATTCGATAGGATGAAAGTGAGATGGTTGGGCTTAAAATTGGTGTAATATTCTTGAAGTTTTATGTTGCCAGGCGCACGTGTTATCAGCTTTCGATCGATACAATTTGTACGATCGAGCGATCTTAGATCTTTAGACGTATGGAGATTGATCGTCGCTATAAATTAAAGATATGTTAATTATAATTGATAATTGCTACACGATTGTATTCTATTTCAGACCTGGCTTATTAATTACGAACTACCGGATACTGTCATGATTTTGGCCGACGATTCCATTAATTTTCTTGCAAGTAAGAAAAAAATTGAATTCTTGCGAAAATTAGAAGACACAAAATCGGAAGATAACGGCGTTCCTCCTGTGAAACTCTTCATTAGAGACAGAGTAAGTGATGGGTAAAATTTTATATAATGCGCGATGAAATTCATTGGTTTGTACATTCGATGTCAATTTAATGCTACTCTATGACAAGCCATACACGCATCGACCAAGTAGTAATTATAAAACTCAAGAATCGCTTGGTACGATCGTTGATCGTGTTTGTGCATTATGAAATTATTACATGATATATATATATATATATATGTGTGTGTGTGTGTGTGTGTGTATAATTTTAGGGCGACGAAGATAAAGCCAATTTTGCAAAACTCATAGATATTATTAAAAGCAGCAAAAAGGGTAAAATGACTGGGATATTTAGCAAAGATAATTACAAATCTGGTTTTGCAGAAGCGTGGAAGACAGCCGTGAAGAAAGAAAATTTTGATACCGTAAATTTCATTTCACTTTATTATTCAAATTGCCGATATAAATTACTCTTACAGTTTATAATACTTTGTGTGGTTTTAAATAGGTCGATGTGAGTGCTGCCGTAGCCTATATAATGTGCCCAAAAGAAGATTCTGAAATTCTTACGGTTAAAAAAGCTTGTTTAGTGTCGGTCGATGTTTTTACAAAGTACCTTAAAGATCAGATTTTGGAAATTATTGATAACGATAAGGTAAGATTTTGCTGACGTATGACACAGATATGTGTAAATTATGACTTGAACCAAACGTTGTCTGCTTCAAATAGAAAGTGAAGCATTCGAAACTGGCGGATGGAGTGGACGCTGCAGTAACGGACAAAAAGTATGTCACAGGCGTCGATACCTCTCAAGTAGATATGTGCTACCCAGCCATAATTCAAAGCGGTGGCAATTATTCCTTGAAATTCAGCGCTGTCAGTGATAATAATGTGCTTCATTTTGGTGTCATAATTTGTTCGTTAGGAGCTCGTTACAAAATGTATTGTTCTAACATTGTTAGAACCTTATTGGTCAATCCAACAAGTTCAATCGAGGTAAAGGAACGATCGATGTCATTTGACCATTCGATTAATAATATAAATATTTAATATAAATTTTATCTTCAGGAGAATTATAATTTTTTACTACAAATTGAAGAAGAGATTTTAAAGAAACTAACGGCTGGAACGAAATTGAGTGAAGTGTATGAGGTTGCTATTAAGTTTGTGAAGGATGAGAAACCGAAAATGGTGGATCATCTTACAAAAAGTTTTGGTTTTGCGATGGGAATCGAGTTTAGAGAAAGTTCGATGGTCTTGGGACCCAAGACCAATATATTCGCTAAAAAGGGAATGGTCTTTAACGTTAATGTCGGCCTATCGAATCTTACTAATCCAGAAGCAACTGATAAGGAAGCCAAAACGTATGCACTCTTTGTAGGTGACACGGTACTTGTGAACGAGGTACAAACTATCATTTACGTCACAACTTACTTAGACTTTTTAACGTGTAAAACATAAATTTTCAATCATTCTTAAAAGATTTTCAAAAATTCGAGAGAGAAAAGAATTTTGCATTGCTATACCAGAAGCTCTAATTCATCGATCGTTATAGGGTCAACCAGCATCTATTCTCACGCCATCTAAGAAGAAGATAAAAAATATTGGTATTTTCTTGAAAGACGATGAAGAAGAAGAGGAAGACAGTGGTAAAGAAAATGAGCCTAAGCCTGAGATTCTCGGACGGGGTAAGAGGACAGCTGTCATTGAATCTAAGCTAAGAATCGAGCATAGTTCGGAAGAAAAAAGAAAGCAGCATCAAAAGGAATTGGCTCAGCAATTAAATGAAAATGCTAAAGCTCGCTTAGCTCAGCAGTCAAGTGGCAAAGAGGAAGAAAAAATTCGTAAATCAACGGTCTCTTACAAAAGTCTTAATAGTATGCCCCATGATACAGAAGTGAAAGAGCTCAAGCTGTTTGTAGGTTCGTTTCATAAATCAATAATCAATGATCAAACATTTCATAACATTCGTTTATCCAAACTACTTCACTGCGTTATATTTCAGATAAAAAGTACGAGACTGTAATCTTGCCCATCTATGGAGTACCAGTACCATTCCATATATCGACGATCAAAAACATTTCTCAATCTGTCGAAGGCGACTATACTTATCTCAGAATAAATTTCTTTCATCCTGGTGCAACCATGGGACGAAACGAAGGTGGTGTTTATCCCCAGAACGACGCCACGTTCGTTAAAGAAGTGTTAGTACTAACGTCGTTAAAAAAAAAAAAAACAACTATTCGAAACGAAGACTTCTTATGTAATATATTATTTTGAATTTGCAGGACTTATCGCAGTACAAATACTAAGGAACCCGGTGAAATTTCAGCACCATCATCGAATTTGAACACTGCCTTTAGATTAATTAAAGAAGTTCAAAAGAAATTCAAAAACAGAGAGGCCGAGGAACGCGAGAAGGAGGATCTTGTTAAACAAGATACTCTAGTTTTATCACAAAATAAGGGAAATCCCAGATTAAAGGACCTATACATAAGACCAAATATTGTAAGTAAGCGAATGACAGGTGGATTAGAGGCACATTCTAATGGATTCCGTTACACTTCGGTCAGAGGCGATAAAGTAGATATTCTGTATAATAACATAAAGAATGCCTTCTTTCAACCTTGCGACGGAGAGATGATTATTCTTCTTCATTTTCATCTGAAAGTAAGATGTCATTTATTGTTTTTATGTAACGAAGTCTTACGTGTAAATAAAATTTTCGTGCAATTTACAATAATGTTTTACTTTCAGCACGCCATTATGTTCGGAAAGAAGAAGCACGTCGATGTACAGTTTTACACCGAAGTTGGTGAAATTACAACGGATTTAGGAAAACATCAGCATATGCACGATCGCGATGATCTAGCGGCAGAGCAGTCGGAAAGGGAGCTTAGAAAAAAGTTAAAAACAGCGTTTAAAAGCTTCTGTGAAAAAGTGGAATTTATGACAAAACAAGAAATTGAATTTGATAAGCCATTCAGAGATCTTGGTTTTCCTGGTGCACCATTCAGAAGTACTGTACTCCTACAGCCGTCGAGTGGTTGTCTTGTTAATTTAACGGAATGGGTATATTATCTTGATAATTGTTATTAAAAGATAAAAATCGCTCGTTATTGAAAATAGTTTTTTATACATTATTTTAGCCCCCATTTGTTATCACCCTAGAAGATGTCGAGTTAGTGCATTTTGAAAGAGTACAGTTTCATTTGAAGAATTTCGATATGATTTTTGTTTTCAAAGATTACCATCGAAAAGTAGCAATGGTAAATGCTATACCTATGAACATGCTGGATCATGTGAAGGAATGGCTAAAGTAAGGAATATCCGTTATAATTGATTACTCTGATTCATTTAACGAGCTTCGTTTAATTTTATATAATCATTTGTTTTAGTTCATGCGATATAAGATATTCTGAGGGCGTTCAATCATTGAATTGGACCAAAATTATGAAAACAATTACCGACGATCCGGAAGGATTCTTTGAGAGTGGTGGCTGGACATTTTTAGATCCTGAAAGCGATGCTGAGAATGAGGAAGTTGACGATGAAGATGAAGAGGAAGATGATGCTTATGAGGTAAAGATATATATATATATATATATATATATATATATATATATATATTAATTATTAAAATTTATAAATTTATACATTTAATTTAAATTTCAGCCATCGGATTCGGGTACTGAAGAAGAATCCGATGATGATTCCGAGTATTCCGAGGCATCCGAAGATTCTGACAGCGATGGTATTTATTTACATTTATAAAATTATAATATCAATCCAGTTTAAAGAACGTTTTATTTTGATTAAATAATGAAATCTTACAGAAGAGGAATTGGGTAGTTCAGAGGAGTCTGGGAAAGATTGGTCAGATCTTGAAAGAGAGGCAGCCGAAGAAGATAAAGAGAGAGGAGATGAATATGTCGATGATTATAGTAAAAATAAAAAAGGAAGTAAACACGTACCGCCCCCAAAAGATAGGTAAATAATAAAATATAATCGTTGACCTATCATTGAATTACATTAATTTATTAACAATAAGAATTTCATCATTTTTTGTTAAGACACAACTCCAAACACAAAAGTTCATCAAATTCAAAGAGTAAACATTCATCTAGTGGTAGAGACAAAGATAGAAGATCTTCGGATAAACATCACAGGTGAGTCAGGCAGGCACTAAGTTTACTTAAAATTATTAATTATAAATATACCGAAGTGTCATTGTTGAATTATAATCATCTTTGATACTGAAAGTACTTATAAAATATTCCAAATTAAAGATCGGATCGATCAAAGAGTGGGGGATCACATAAGAAAGTGTCATCTCCTTCAAAATCATCCAAGCACAGGTGATAATTATCTTAATTAATCATTTCTAATAACGTTGTTAATATAATTTTAAATAATTTTAGCCCGAAGAAGAGTGATAAGCATGATAGGCGTGACAAGCACAACAGTAGTAGCAGTAAACATGACAAACATAAATCATCTTCACATTCATCAAGTAGTAAGAAACGTTCACGAGATGATAGTTCTGATAAACACAAAAGCCCTAAGAAATCCAAGTAAGTCCATTCATTTTTGGTAATTTTATATTTTCATATTTGTCTTTTACTGTAATAGTTTATTTTCTTCAATTTCCGAATAAATACATGAGATATGTTTTACTTGTGACAAGTGTGGATGCAAGAAAACTTTATAAAATATAGTTTTATATGTGTGATATTAAATAATACACGTTTGCTACATTAATTAATTGACAAGAAATTGGTAGGATTCAATAAATTTTTTAAAAAAATTTATAGATAAATCAAGAATTTGTGCGCTTGCGCCCGCGTGTGCGTGTGTGTTCATAAGTATACAAAAAAAAAAAAAAATGCCTTTGTATTAATACTTATCAATAATTCTGTAAGAAGCTATATTCGATCAAAGATAAAAAAATATATAATTTTATTAATAAAAACATATTTTTATTGTAAACAGAATATCGAAATAAATGTTTTTAACGACTAATCAACCTACAGAGAAAATGAAATATTTTGTCGAATCGAAGTTTTAATAATTACAAAAATATACAGTATAATTTGTACAATTAAAATGTTTGTAAATTCAACGGATACTACAAGTTTCATTAAATTTAAATTATTAACAGCTTTTGCGTATAAAATAAGAGGTCGTAAAACAATTCTTGAAAATTCTTAAGCAGCGTTATTTTTTAATTGTAATATTGCGAAATATAACAATAGAGAAAAGCATTGATATTAAAATGATTTTTTTTTTTTTTCGTCTTTCAGAAAATAAGTGTTGATGTGCGCAAATGCTGAAAGAAAACAAATGTAATGCCTGTATAATAAGCAGACTTTCATATTATAAGTTACATTAATTGTGACTAGTTTTTTTCCGAGACTTTGTACAAGAACTCCACGAACATTATGAAAATCACTCTACAGCTGTAAGGTCATATGAAAATCGTCTTAGCGGTTGTAACTTTCAGTGAAATATTTAAGTTCATTTACTTTTTGTTGTATTCATTTAACTAAGATTCGTTATAACTCACAAATATTTTTATAAACTTCATCTGATATAAAGAGAAAAAGATATTGTAGAGCAAATTTCGTTTTTACAGTTTACTATGTTACAAATATTTATATTATTACATGATTATGTTATTAGTTTCATACCACGTCAATACTATATGTAATGTTTTAAATCAGGGACGACTTTTATACTGAAGAAAATTTGTAGTGTACAGTTGTAATAATTATTAGTACAAGTTTATTCAGACAGTAAAAAGTGAGCTTTTTTAAAGAATTGATGTGAAGTAGTTTTTATGATTACCCAAATCCTATGCATACAATACATTTTCTTATACTTGTGTATTGCTTATTTATCTCAAGTATGACTACTCCTATTCCTTTTATTATTATTATTATTATTATTATTATTATATATATATATATATATATATATTGTGTAAGTGTCAATTAAATTAAATACAATTAAACATTAAAATTTTTCCTTATATATAAATATTATTGCACTCAAATTATTGTATTTAAAAAAAATGAACAATACATTATACATATTGATGTTCGATTTTTGTTTTTTGTTTATCAATATGCTTGAATGAAAAAGGACTAAAAATCTTTTATTTTGCTAACCTTTTTATTTAAAATATACGTATACGTTATTAAGGAAAGACTCGCTAGCAAAAAAAAAAAAAAAAAAAAAAAAAAAAAAAAACACCCTGAATTCTATGAATTTAAAACTTATTTATAGAAGCTTAATGTATTAATATAAATTAATATAATCTTTAAAACATAACAACATAAATCAACTTACGTTTCTTGAAATGTATTGTACCGAGAAAAATTGCTTAATAATAGTAATGTGAATCTATCAAAAGTGAAAGTGCACGTATCCGTGAGCACGTCCGTACTTTCTCCTAGCGGTATCACTTGTTACATGCTTAATTCAAAGAAGAAGGTCTGCACCTGTAAAAGGCTCTCGTTTTTTCTTTACGACAAATTTTTATTCATCAAAGGCTGTCAATAACCAAATGTACTATATGTTAAATTAACATGAAATGTCACTTTATAAAACATACCTGTATTCAGAAAATATTACCTAATGAATACATGACTTAATATCGTGCAAGTTCTTTCTATTTCTAATGAAATATTACATTGATAATGAAACAAGAGTATATAATTTTTATTTGTCTTGATATATTATTAATTAGAAAAAAAAAAGAAAAAATTTTAAAAGTTAGTAAAACTGGTGTTAACTACTGGTGTCATGAAGAAAAATAAAATTAATGAAATACATTAAAATTATTATTATTATTATTATTATTATTATATAATTATATTAAAGTCCTAATGAGTCGTAAATAATAATTAAAAAAAAAATAATAATAATAATAATAATAATAATAATGTATAAAGCTTAGATTGCTAGAACGATATAGATAGCAATAAATGTACTACAATATTTTTATTAAAAATAGCAAATACTTTATTCGTACAAAATGAAAAAATAAACTACAAACGAGTATAAAGAGCAAAAAAAAAAAAAAAAAAAAAAAAAAAAGGAAAGAAAAAGAAAAAAGAACTTTACTCGTACATTATAAATAATCTTATATAGGTCGAATATTCAATGTTGGTACATCTCTGTACGCCTCCTGTCTCTCGTATGGTCAAGAGAAGGATAAGAGAAGATGTTGGGGGACAGCATTCAAAATAGGTAAATTGCAGTCTCAGTTCCGTCCAATCTGATCGATCTGGCCCTGCAAGTTGTTGACGACCTCGGCGGGAACGTGCTCACCGAGAATCTCGAAGAGATTGATCCTCTGATTGCCGGGTATCGATTCGTAAGCGGCGAGTTCAATTCCCTCCTGGACATTTTGAATTTGCGCGTCCTTTGGAATGAGATAAGTCTGCTGGGCCTGTTTGATTGCCTCGTTGCTGAAAATCTGGCCATCCTTTTGCTGAGGAAATGCCGAGGCCATGGCTACGAGTCCGAGGACAACTAATGCGCAGACCTTCATGTTCCTGAGGAAGGAGAAACGAGAGAAGATCAGAGAAAGTTTAACGAGGAGGAGGTGCTTGCTTGTGTTTTGAATCTTTTTTCTCTCTTTTTTTTTTTTTTTTTACACATAACAGCATACCTCTCTGGCTCTACTACCTCAACCCACATTATTCACATTTACAAACACTTTGTTTTACATATGGAATATTTCTGCAAATATCTATCTATAGATTTACATACCCATCACGTCATCTTCCATAATTTACGAATTTCAAATTTCAACTTAAATAGCCTTCCCTTCTCTTAAGCCGATTAAATCGTTGGTTCGATTTAAACGATTTATATACATATATATATCGCTCTCTCTCTCTCTCTATCTCTCTATCTCTATCTCTCTATCTCTATCTCTATATCTCTGTCAGCCGTAAACATTTTATGAGCTTAAGTTGACTCTCGATTCATCTTTTTATTTTTTAAATTTATTTTCATGTCCTTTTTTCAATTATAATGCAATTACGGTGAGACACATTATATACTCACCTCTATTAAATAATTTTATATAGAAAGGATAATTAGCCCAACTTCCTCATTGAATTGAACGAATTAGCTCTCTTATGCAATTTATTTCTACATTCAATCTATATTTATATCTATAGACCGACGGCCATTATACAAGCTTTGCGGATTATAAAATCTGCCCTTAAAATTTATCGTTATTTTAAATTGTTCGTAGATAAAACATAAGCCTAGGTAATCCTATTCGTCATAACGTCAATTACGTAGTTATGAGAAATGCCGTAAGTAACAATTGTCGCAATATACTTTGTAATATTATATAATAAATAACTTAGTCGCAAAAGAATAGAATAGATAGAAAGGACAACAACAACGTAGACTATCGTCGTCGAGAGATTTAATAGACCAAATATTCGAATATCCTTAAACGTCAATGAACGTGAATCAGCGCAACAACGCACGGTGGAGGGAACAAGTCACCGTTAAGTCAAAAATAAGCCAGAGCTTTTAAGTCCCAAAGTGTATTCGTATCGTTTTATATCGTTACACAACTCGAGATAGCGCCTCAATAATCACACATTTACATTATTTACATTGAATTTTCGCGTTACGGATGTCGGGGAGCTGGCGAAACATTGCGCGTGGCGCGCGAAAATCATAATTGCGCATCATTGCGTCGATGATCCGTTCGAACGAGTGAAATGCCGCGAATTTTTTTTTTTTCGCCTTCTACCTTTCGCTTCCTGTTGGCCTGCTCACTCGCTCCTTCTATTGCCGGGAGCCGCTTTTAACGACGTTGCGTAAGATACTTATCGCCAGCTTGGAAACCTTTTCGAGATGCTACAAGTACGTCGTCGCATCTCCGGCTTGAGAAACAACAACAACAACAACAACAACAACGACGACGACGACGACGACGACAACAACAACGACGACAACGACGACGACAACAACGACAACAACGACAACAAAGCTAAGAATGCGATGAAAGATGAAAGGTTGCGCGCACATATTGACGAGCATAATTTGTATGAAATTGTTATTTGATGGAGACTTTTTGCTATCGTTTAGTCCATGTCTGAACGATCGATGTCAATGAGTCGAACGTGTTTCATTTTCTTTTGCCGACGACGACAACGACGACAACGACGACAACGACGACGACAACAACGACAACAACGACAACAAAGCTAAGAATGCGATGAAAGATGAAAGGTTGCGCGCACATATTGACGAGCATAATTTGTATGAAATTGTTATTTGATGGAGACTTTTTGCTATCGTTTAGTCCATGTCTGAACGATCGATGTCAATGAGTCGAACGTGTTTCATTTTCTTTTGCCGATGCACAAATGTAATTCGGCGAGGATCAGCGTTCGATTGATTAATATTGGAAAAACATCTGAAAATCAGTCATTATGGTAATAGAATTTTACAGCCACTGCGAACGTAACGAATCATCAATTTTCTAATTGAATTATTATAAGAGTATTTTTCAAATCGCCTCAACTCCACTTTATCACTTATGTATTGTATAATGAATCGTTGTTGTTGGATATTTGAAGGAGGAAGGGGTCTGCTCTCTATTAAATCCAAAGCCCAAGTTTCGTCGAGACTAGCTGAATGCAACGATTCATGCATCTGATTAAAAAGACGGCAATAAAGTATTTATTTTGCATTTTAGATACTTCGAAAGAGTTTAAGAGTCTACTAGAGTTACGCTAAAAGACTTGAGCGATGTAGCAATTAGCGGTCTTAAGAGGTGTGCGAAAAATATGAAAAAATTGTCCGAGCATGAACATTTTATCGTATAAAAGTGTGTCCCCCCCCCCTCTATACTCAATATTTTGCGATATCACAAGTAGCCCACGATGGTTATTCATAATGGCGCGTGCACACTTTCGTGCCAATGAGAATGCAAGTTTCATTCGCGCAATATAATTGATCGACTCGAGCCGAAAATACCCATGGCATTGCATTCGCGGTTTAAGGACGACGAAAGGAGCGGAGGTGCGGAGCAGCATGTTTTAACGCGAATAGAGACTCGTCTCGGCCCGTAGGCAGACCTTTGCATCTCCGTTGCAGCTCCGGCAATGCAATGGAAAGCAATAATGGATCGACGATCGAGGGCATCGAGAGCCACCACCACTACGCGCATGCACTTGATGCAAGGAGATCGAGAGAAGCCGCCGAAATGGCAATATTGACCCTGCCACGAATTTCCCGTTACCTTTTACCGCGAGGGAGAGGAGAGTTCGGGCAGGCGCGCAAGCGCAAAAAGCCTCGGATGCCTGCTTGCTGGTGGAGTCGTGCTCGGAAAGTTTCTCACGGGCATCGGACGCGCACTTTCCCTCTTGCTTGGCCGTGCCGATCGGACGTGGAAGGATTCGCCGCGAGATGAAGAAGACCAAGCGGTTTCCCTTTCCGAGCCTTCTCTCTCCTTATTCCTCCCACCACACACCGCTTCTCTCCCTTGTACAGATGCGCGCGAGCGTAGCATGGCCGCGAAATAACGAGCCGCCACATAACGAGGAGCGTAATTGCGCTTCGCTTGCACAAATGCCGCCAGTTCACCTAATTTGGTTGTTTATGGCTGCGATTGTCGCGAGTAACGAAGAGTGGCCAAGTCGGCGGGCGGCTCGCTTCCCTCGCGCCTCGGCTCGCATTTTTCTCGTCCCTCTGTCCCTCTCTGTCTGTCTGTCTGTCTGTCTCTCTCTCTCTCTCTCTCTCTCTCTCTATCTCTCTCTCTATCTCTCTCTATCTCTCTATCTCTCTCTATCTCTCTATCTCTCTCTATCTCTCTATCTCTCTCTATCTCTCTATCTCTCTCTATCTCTCTATCTCTCTCTATCTCTCTATCTCTCTCTATCTCTCTATCTCTCTCGTCTTTAAGGAAGAAGAGATGGGTGGAAAGGCCCTGCTTTCTATTAATTTCACGTTCGTTCGACGCTCCACCGGCGGATCCATTTATATGCCAATGCGCGCGTAATCGTCCAATCATCGCCGCTCCAACACCAATTGAAGAGCCGAAGAAATGAAAATGCGCTTACTTATTTTTATTTTAATTCGATTAATATCGATTCGAGCGTGGAGTTGGTGAAAGGGGCAAATTAAGGTGAAGTTGTGCTGTTGAATGGGTAGTCTCGGTACAACGATGACGTACCGAGAGATTTTGCAAGTAGGGCAGTTAACGCAGAAGGAGAGCAGCTCGACAGCCAATGAATAACGGATGAATCCCTTTTACGAGAGACCCGAGAAATCTTGGACAGATGCTGATAATGATAATAATGATAATAATGATAATAATGATAATAACGATAATAATGATAATAACGATAATAATGATGACAACGATAACGATAATAATAGTAGAAAACAGCTTTTGCCAAATGTAATGCCGTAAATAGCGAGGGCTGCGCACCTCGAGCGGACGATTTAGCACTACGTGGTTGCGTGGTTTAGTGAGAATCTTCGCTATCCGAAGCCGGCGAATGACGGCATGCGAGAAACAACGGAGAAAAAACGCGGACGCTGTCGAGGGTGGGACGGAGGAGAAATCGGAGGAGGAAAGGAAAAGAGGATAGGATGTGTGCGTGTTTGTGCGCGATTGTGGTGGGATGGGGGAGAGGGTCTGGGTGAGTGGCGGTAGTGGTAATTTTAAATCGACGACGGTACTCACTTGGAAAGGCTCGATTAACGATCGGTCACGAGTGAACTAGACGCGGGACCGCTGGCGATGGTGGCTTTTATACCGCAGCGGAGATTCGGGGCCGCCGAGGTGGTGGATTCGCCGCACGATGCGGTGCGCATCTCTTCCCCTTCGAAAGTCGGAGCGAAGGCTCTTTTCTCGCCGCTCCTCGGCCGCCGTTAAGCCACCGCGAGCCTCGGCCCCGGATTTGCATAGACGCCGCGGTCGCAGGAGCTCCGGGTGACGCGGGCCTCGTCGCCAACATCCGCTTTAGAGGCTGATCGAAGGTTCTCGGGGACGTCGTCCTCGTGCAGAGTGAGTCGGGGAAAAGGGGCGGTGGCGAGGGGCGATGAGGGGAGGTGGGGCAACGGCGGGACAAGGGAGTTTGAGTTTAGTGGGCTGGGCCAGCACTGTTTGTTATTTTGCAACTCTCCGTCGAAATGACACGACGTTACTCAATTGCCGTCCTTTAAGATTATTACGTCGGTCGAGCGATAAACTGGCAAGACTCGCGACTGAAACTGTGTCATGTATTTATTTCCATAGAAAGCAAAGGTGTCCGAGCGAGCTGCCAATAGTCGAAACTTAATGACTTTTTACAATGAAATTCAATGGCCAATTGTCTTTACAAAAATTTTGAAACTCAATAGTTGTGTAATTTTCTCGATAGAGTCTCTCTCTTCTCTCTCTCTCTCTCTCTCTCTCTCTCTCTCTCTCTCTCTATATATATATATATATATATATATATATATATATATATATCACTCTGTCTCGGACAAGCAAGTTCTCTTGAGTTCCAGTTGAAAAAAAAAATAAAAAAAAAAAATAGACATCTTTAATCATGTATTATTAAATCTAGTTGCTTATATTTATTAATTACGTTATTGACAATTTTGGCGCGATTGAATAAATTAAATGCTTCCTAATGACTGATAAGTAATATTCTTTACTTGGATCGAATCTTTGCCCTTTTTCGCTATATTTTCGATAAGGCTCGAGTCACAACTAATCTTAATGCATAGAGTTGAGAAGGTTGATGAAATATAAGCTTCAATTTATTATGAAAGCACTTTCTATATAATCAGGTACACGAGTGTTGATCGTAAAATCCAAAATCGATGAGAAAACATTGAGTTAATTTATGCCGAGAGCAATAAATGACATTGGTCGACCGATGAAAGCATTTGCGATCCGAACCAAGATATTCCCCAAGTAAGCTATATAATTTCCTAAAATATTTCGTATGTGTACCAATGGTGAAATACGATTGGAACTCGTTTCCTTCCGAGTGCGTATGTATGAATGAAATGAATGTATTCGGTTGAATAAAAATTAAATTACCGAAGGTATGGGTATATGTTGTTATTGTTGTTGTCAGTGTTGTTAGTGTTGTTAGTGTTGTTAGTGTTGTTAGTGTTTTGGAATAATTATCGATAATGAGAAATAAATGCCAGCGTTAGTGTAATTAATGAGATGCGAGATTAATAAAAAATAAAAACTCATACACTCGTGTACCATGAAAGTATGCGCAAGGGAAATTCATTCATATTCACTTACCTATCCATTTCGTATTTCTATTCATTCAAAAGGCATATGAACTTGTCTTGTTTGTACAAACGTATAACAATAAATATATTGTAATGTATAAAAATATAAATCAACAATTTAAATGAGAACTTTCGGTAAGTTTTTCCCGTAGGACTTTTATTCACTAATTAATTTTTTTATTCTTTATTATAATATTAATTACACATCAATGATTAATATCTACTAAATTTTAATATTTAGGAGAAAAAAAAAATTCTCGTTTCGATGACTCTTCCTCCTTACGAATAAATTTAATTACTTAAATTACATAATTTTATTAGAAAATCAAAGTATTTAACTTTTACGATATTATAAATTAATATTTACAAAGAAAAAGAAAATAAAGGGCTAAATTAAATTTTATAAATGTAAATTGAAAGTGATGCGCTATTTATAGATTTACATTGGAATAGAGAGATAGGAATTAAGATTTTCGATCGAGAAATAAAAACATTCGTAATTATCTGCATCTTTACTGATTTATTAAATTGTTATAATTACTTTGATAATCAATATTAGTTTCCAATTATTTGTGACCTCATATCTTTCGTATTTGAAAATTTTTATCTAAAATAAGCTTTTGTTCTGAAAGAAACATAAAATTAAAAATCTTTTTTGGAGGTTTAAGAATAGAAAGTGACGCGAATAGGATCGATAATATTTACTAGAACTATTAATTTTCGTATTAATAAACTAGGTATTTTAACTTTAAATTTGTCTTGGATCGAAGAACTAATGCCAAGGTTGAAATTGTGAAGAGTTCGAAAGTAATTGTCATTGAATTATTTTTTTTAACTCCTCAAGTTAATTTCCAATGTTGTTTATGAAATCAAAAACTATTATTAAAATTTTCGTAAATTTTCTAGATGGATTAATGGGGGAAAAAAGATTCAAATTCAAACTGAGTTGATACATTTTTCAGTCTATCGCTTAAAACTTATTTTCGCAGCTTTCTACTTTTTTATTAATTTTGTTTTGTCTTTTAAGTTTCATTTACACCATTAACTTCCTTTTACTCGATTTAATGGTATTGCCAATTAATATACACAACCATATTAATAAAATAATTATTAGTTTTATAATTATTTATTATTATTATTATTATTATTATTATTATTATTATTATTGTTCTTGTTATTATTGGTATTATTAAGATTATTGAATATACTCAACTCATTATACTTGATCGAGCTTTTATTAATTACCAAACGAAATTTATGTTTAAGTTTTATTGAATTATTATCGCAATATTTTGCATAATAGTGCTATAGTAATAAGTAGAATTTTGTCATTTCTAAAATGATCGAATCAAATGAAATTTTATGTGAAAGCTTAATTAAAGTATAATAACTTTGCGATAAAAAAAAAAACTACAATAAAATAAAACAATAATATTACTTACTATTATTATCTAAGAAATTTAAATCTTCCTGGGTGTGCATTAAAAAAATCCTTTTCTTCCTGCTAATCGCTGAATTGCCGGTCATTTAAATAATTTATATAATCATGAGTTAAAATAGAAATAATAGATATAAATAGCACTACGCTACTTTGTATGCGAAATAGATTAACAAAGATAGAATTTTTAATTTAATAATTATCATGTCGAATGTGCTGTCTTAAATACTATACTTTAAAATCCAATCTTTTATCTTTTTTTAATGATATAATATCTTTTATCTAAAATTCTTCATAATTATAAAAAAATAATAATTAGTTAATCATTTGACGTATTAATAATATCTCGTGCTTAATTTGTTTAATTTAAAAAAAAAAAAAAAAAAAAAAAAAAATTTAATTAATCAATAATCAATATTCAAACATTGTATGCCGAGACATTAAAATTTCACTTTTACTTGACTCTCATTTACCGCCCATACAAAGATGAATAAGCCATACCACATTATTCTAATGATTGCAATTGTTTTAAGCAGCGCTTCGTCAAACGACGATTGTAAAAATACTTATCATTTTAGTCATCATTAAGTCTTGATTGAAAAATCTCTCCTCGGAAAGGAAACGAGTTGCCAGATGAATATTCATGAAATTGATGTAAGTATTAATAAAACTGAATTCCTGAAAGATCTCTCAAAGATTCAATGACTGCGTAGACACAAAAATGAAAGTAACCCAAGCAGCTCTCGATTAATAAATCAATTTATTTGATTCGAGTCGAGTGTTCATAATTTACGGTAAATATTTTCTCATTGATGTACCGTCGTAGTGAAGTTATTATTTTACAGTTGCTAAAGCACAATATATTTTTCAACTTTTCGTTTAATAATTGCATGTATAAATAATACATAATATATACAAGGAAATTAATTTAATCATTCCCATCAGATTCCCATCAGATTAAATCGTAGAGACACGCGACATAACATTATATTACGTTATTTATTAAAATTGCAATAGTCTCATGTGTAATATAACTACTTAACAATACCATATAATAATGGCAAGAAAATAATTTCAGATGTGAAATTAAATTCAAAAATTTCCCCACCAAATATTCATCCAAGAATTTCTTCTAATAACACGCTTAATAGAATATAGAAATTAGAATACAAATTATTCCATACAGTTAATAAATATATAAAAAAATATTATTATGAAAATAGTTACATTTATGAAAGGGTTAATTATGATAAAAAAAAAAAAAAAAAAAAAAAAAAAAAAAAAAATAAGGGGACAGTGACATTTTGTAAATTATGTAAATTATTTGGAAAATGTAAATTATTATATGATTATGTTATTATTATTATTAGCCTTGTAACAGACGCTAATACGAATAATCATTATCATATATTGTAATTATATGTTTTATATAGATAACTTTCACGTTTATATTGAGTTTAAGCTAATAATGAGTTAACTGTAAATGATTACAAAGACAAAGAAAACTTAATAAATTGTCATTTTAAACCATTGCAAACGCATGAAGCAATTAAATGGGTTCTGCTTTCTATTAATAATTTGCAGAGCTTAGTAGCCACATAATACATGTTTCATTCAAATTAATTTCACGAATAATATATTTGATTGTAATTGATGATTTGTGGGTTGTGGATTTAGTAAATACGCAATTTTATCATTGATTATTATCATCGAATTCAATTTGTTTATAAAATAATTGCTTTATGTACCGTAATCATGAGGAAATGTGGAATTCACCTACTTTACGCGTAATATAAAATATAAAATTATTAAGTGGACCAGAATTGTCATAAATATTGACTGTTTGTTTATTATAAAGTCACAAATATTTTATTTAAATCAAATATTACACGAATAATAATCATCTTATTATATTTTTATTTCTCTTATAGATATTGTAAATTTTAGAAACATATAGACTATATTATAAATAAAAATTATGCATCATCTCTAGGCATAATATATTAAGGTTGCAAAAAAAACACAATTAACAAAAATTGATCATTAAAAATTCTGTTCTTTCAATTCCCGTATCAAATTGAATCTGACGACAGGAAAAAAAAAACAAAAACAAAGAAAAAAAAATCCATTAGTATAATTACCTTTAATAACGTGTTTTAAAATAAATTTATGGTTGATAAAATAATGTTGCCGGAGTGAATATGAATGAAACGACAGTGATGTTTTTACCAATAAGTTTTTATTTCATTGGGCAAAAATTTTGTTTCTCTTACAGCATTTGTCCTTGCTCAATTACACAAAACTATACTCTTGAAAAAATTGTCATTTCAATTCTAATCTTAAACTCGTTATTTATTACCTTTGCTGCTATTACTATTGCTATTCCTAGAAAATAATATTAAGGAAGATAAGCGCGGGCATCGAAGGGGTTGTGAGGAGGGGGGGTGGAGTGGACAGGGGGTCATCGAAGTAACGATTCGTGGGAACTAGGATATAAAATTATTGCTTAAAATTATTGCTTAAAATTATTGCCACAAGCCATGAGTGTATCGATAAAAGTCCTAACAATCGATCGCATAATCAACGTCCTGTCTTTCAACGCGTTTCTGGTACGAAGGAGCCGAGCCAATTCATGGTATTGGTCGAGGTCTTAAAAGTCTTGACTTTCACTAAGGCGAAATTACCGATCGTAGTGCACTCGATAAAATAAAAACAAAACAAAACAAAACAAGGGCTCGATGAGAATCTAGCGGAAATACTATAATCCTTAGACTATAATGAGCCTTAGTCGCGTCTCTCTATCTACACTCGAAAATATTTCTATTTTCCTGGATTTTGCAAATTTTTTTTTGCTTATGAATTAAGCGATAAGAGGTTTTTTCTTCTTTTTTTTTCCGAGATCCCGAACTCTGTGCGGATGCTGAATATTATTAAAAAGTTTTCGATCGTTCGATCGTTAATACGCTTTTTCGCTTGGATTCGCATAGCGAAGCAAGAGCTTTAAGCATTTAAATATCTCGCTCAAGGTGGCCAATAGTTAACCGCAAAATCTTTTCGAAAAACCAAAAAGCGAAAAAAATTTTTCTTAGCGCATTATGTACGTAGAGGCAAGTCGTACTTTTTCTTCTTTTTTTTCTTTACTTTCCTAAGATCCGACACAATGTATTTCAATTATCGACGCTTATCGCATTAAAGAATGGCCGTTCGAGGATGTAAAATTATGGGAACGCGTTCGGTGACTTTTCTAGCTGGAAGCCCTACGAATAGAAAGTTTTATAACGATTATTTACGTATGTCGAACGGATTTTAACCGAAAATTCACTTAACGAGCACATTTTTGATAAATAGCGTCTACGTTAATAAATTATCTTATAAATTTTAATACATGCTTGCGTGTATCGTACACGAAACATTATTATCCTTACCTAAGAATGTATAAAATAAAAAAGATTTTTTTGTATCGTCTGAGCATGAATAAGTAATTGTTAAATTTAAATAAATAACATATATCATTTTATTAAATTAAAATTACATTGATTATACGTAAATGAAAAGATATATTTAATTGGGTGTAATGTAATGAATTTATTCTTTGATTATTTTATTAGCTTGAGCTGACATTATCAACTATTCGCTCAATCTTTCTACGGTAAAATATCCTTTCGATTACATAACACAGAGTATTAAATTTAATTAACGTGACTTATGGCATAAAACGAAACGATGCTTGCAACGATCGACAAGAACAAGAGAGGTAAAAAGTAAACAAAAATAAAAAGTAAAAAAAAAGACAAAAGAAAACTGTACAAGTAAATATTTAAAAAACGCTTTTAATCGATAATTCAAAAGTACAAATTTTAACGGGACTAGACAGCTACCGACTGCATTACTTTTTATTAATCTTTTGTCGTCCTTCTTCCCTCAACCGATCAACGATCCATCCAATCAATTACTTGCCAATAATGGCGCATATATCTCGCGACATCTGTGTACATAATAAATCTGCTTTGCGCAGCAAGCACCAGCGCACGCGCATAATCGAAAGTCAGTGACATTATAATGTATTAGCGAGATTATTATCAAAAGGCGTTCGATGGTCCTTTGTACTAAGCCTTTGTCCACACGTGTACAATAATCATATACGATAATATACATTTATAACGAAATTCCGCGCCTTATCCAGCACACGTTTATACAATTGTCTATATAGCGCAACCGAGTATAATTATCCCATTTTCTTATCTCGTTCAATCATTGACATGACAACTATAATAAGTAGCTACCTGACAGTCTATAAGTGCAATAATAATTCGTGTCTTCCACATTATGTCTCTTACATTTTTTATATACAAACGTATATCCGCAACATAAATTAACAGGAAAAAGGATATGATCTTATCTCAAGAACGGTATAAAAAAATATACAGTTGAGTTAACAATTTTTGCATTGCGATCGATGACAAAGACGAAGACGACGACGACGACTTCATGATAAAAGCAAATAAGAGATAGGGGATTCGAATACCTTTGGAGAACGAAATTTCGTAAGGCACGCCGCTTACCTCTCGGTGGCCTTTCCTCCCCCCCGCCCTCTCTCTCTCTCTCACTCTCTCACCTACCCTCGTCATTACATCGTCGTTTAAATACAAAAACGCTACAAAAATAAGGGTACTACTACATTCCGAACACGCGACACTATTGTTATTTTAAAGACAACAATTTCTCTCTATTTATATTGTACGTCATTTAAAATTAATTATTTTATAAAAATAATTCAAGATAAATTCAGCCGTAATTGAGACTCGTATAACAATAGTATGCTTAACCGGCTTTAAAATTCACATTGTCAATACGATACAACAGTTTATTTGTTTATTAAAAAGTCATTATTACGGTATCAACGGTATTGTTATCGACATCGAGCTAAATAATTGGCTCGACATTGAATTTTGTAACGATACGTAGGAAAAAAACGGTTACATTGCGAGATACTTTATTTCTTTCTTTCTTTCCGTAACAAATTAATTATTCTCTACTTATTATATAATAAATAAAATAATAAAAATAAAATATTCGAAAATGTTTCGGTTCGGGCTCAATATAAAAAAATATATTTTATTAAAACCTAAAACGTTGCTTTGTAATTTAAGAATATAATTTTCGTGGTTTAAATACATATTAACAGAGGATTAAAGACGGAAAATAAATTTATAATCCCTAGTTATTATTTGCTATCCTTTATTCTTATTTTTGTTTTTTGTTTTGTTTTTTGTTTTGTTTTTTTTTTTGTTGTTGTTGTTGTTGTTTTTGTTTTGTTTTGGTTTTTTCGTAATTTGTAATTTACTAGGATAAAGCAATTATTTCACTATGCAATTGAACGTATAATTATAACGTACATCTAAATATTTATAATCATTTTTGTAATCTTGTTAAAATTGCGATAAACTAGGTGGCAAATAGCAAATGTCGACATCAAACCAACCAAATATAATAATCCATGTCCAATTGCGGTGAGCTTACTGCAATTTATCTTACTTAGTCTGTCCGACATCGTTACTTCCATGTATTTCTAAACCGATGAGCAATTAATAAATTGCTATCGCGATTAGCGTGGCAAAACATAATATATTCATCGTCAACTGCCTGGAGGAATTCACTTTATACGTTTGCATCTCGGTGAGAGCGGAGCGACAACTGGAATTGGCAGTGGACATGTGACTCGACTCGATTCTTCAGTAGTAAATTTATATGAAAATACCATTTGCTTGGACTTGGCAATTTTCGCCGATTTTCTTCTACTCTCTAATATATACATATTCCTCCTCTAAACGCACTTACAATTAACAAGAGATCCGATACCAAATCTCCCACCCTTCCGATCCTCTACGAGGATAAAATATCATACGATATATCACTCTCTTATAACAATTCTACATAATATTATTTATTTTCGCTTGTTTATCGTGCTAGGGCATTTTATTATAATTTTTTTTTAACACTAAATACTTCTAATTTCCTACGTTTGATTAGATAATCTAGACATATCACGGCTATCAATGAGCGAGATTTAATTTTTTTTTTTTCATTTGTAAAATAATAAAATTTAATAATGTATACATATACCTGTATATGTAAAATAATAAAATTTAAAAATGTATACATATACCTGTATATATATATATATATATATATATATATATATATATATAACCATCTTTTTCTAATCATTTTTAAATACTTTATCACGTATCACGCATAAAGACAAAATATCTAAGGCTACTTATAGTAATATTTCAAAAATTCTAAAATTTTTTTTATAATAAATATCTATTATATCTAAAGAGTCGCAACAAACTTTATTGTCGAGATACGTTAAAACCAAGAGCGCTAATCCGTAATTTTTTTGTTTATTTGTCCCTAAGTTAAATGAAAATGATAAATGTCGCCCATAACGTGTTACGAGGATGCGAAATCATCTTAGTGATCTTGATCTCATCTACTGAATTCTGGTAGAGGCTTGACTATACCCTCTGTATATGCTTTATGAACTGCTTCACAGACAAATCTGTATTGACTCTGTACAGAAGAAGAAATTTTTTATCAATGACATTTAATAATACATAATATAAATGGATAAATTGAAAATCGTAAGTGGAAAATCTCAACCGATTGACACTTTCTTTTATCGTGGAGGGTAAGAAATTATTATCTATTTATAAATTTTGTTTGCACTAATTATTGTTTTAAGGATGGATGAGTATTTTTTTTTTATATGACGGTATCTTAAATTAAAAAAAGTATTGAGCAAAAGACTGTAATTGTTAATATTGGCTACTCGGCATTAGGTTTGTGCCTATATGTGATGATTCACAACATTATTATGTAAATTTTATAAAAAATTTCAATATATTTTAACTGCATCATTAATTCATGATTATACTTTTTACGAACGAAATTTAATATCACGGAATTTTAAAGTGAAAACAAACAGAACCCTTAAAGTTTCATTACATTTATCTGCATTACAAACAGACTAAATTTTTTTTTTATTTTCATTAAAGAAAAGAAAAATTAAAAAAAAAAGACATAATATTGGAAATTGACTTAGTTGAGAAACGAGGCTACGTACACAGTATTTTCAATAAAAACATAACGAATCGATTGGTTCTGGTGTGTCGCTTTAAAAGATCGAAATAATATAATATCAAAATTGATAATTTGAGTTAGAAAAAGTAATTCTTTTGTATTGACCATTAATTTTAATGACAAAATCATAAATAGATAATTATTTATTATAAAACCAAGTGATATGATCAGAAACAGCAAAGTAATTTCTTAACCTTTTAAGGTTCTTTTATAGCCTATATTTTAATTAAAATAACGTTGCGCCTTTCTTATTTGTTTTGTTTTGTTTTTTTTCTTTTTTCTTGACGTTTCGCCAATAATATTTTGCGCACTGTACATTGGATATATTTTATTTTTTTCAATTTCAAAACTTTTTTTATAGTTTTAAATATTTATTAAAATTTTTATAAATAATTTGCATATATCACATAATGGTGGGTCGTATCACCTCCTTATACTTGTATACTGCTATACATCAACAATAATAACCCCATTTTCAAGCTGTAAATCACGTTCGAACATAATTGAGGCTATGAACTTCTGTGATAAAACAGAAAGTGCAGGAATGGAACCATCTGAGCGTTTACTACAGCCAAAGTTACAAACTTTCTCGATCTTTATGTTAACCTGACTATTGACGTTAAGCTGGCGACAGTTTTGGACGTACTTAGCACTAATCACTTCTCTCTCTCTCTCTCTCTCTCTCTCTCTCTCTCTCTCTCTCTCTTTACGCTACCTTGATATATAATATGAAAGTCAAATAATTCTATACTTCGTTGTTTATAGAACGTCATATTATTAGCTTTCGAATACCGAACGCATTATTGCATTGCGTCACAGTTATCATTATGTAAATGTTAAAGAGAGAGAGAGAGAGAGAGAGAGAGAGAGAGAGAGAGAGAGAGAGAGAGAGAGAGAGAGATGGAGAGAAAGTGTATACGTAAATATTTAGCTACAGTTTAATCGTCATACTATATAAAAAAAAGAAGAAATTAATTCATCAAAGAAAGCTTAAATACCGCAAAGGATCAAGGAATACAACGTGGATTTTTAATGTATTGTACTGCAATCAAATCTTCATTACGATTAAACATTAAAGAGCTTCTCTGTACAATAAGCACGGATAATTGCAAGAGTACCTACGTACATTCTGTGAATAGTTTTCAAGGTCAAATATAAGCGAGAAGAGTATGAACATAAACAAGTAATATATACTTCGGAAAAACGGATCACAGTACCAAATTAAATTAAAGTAAAGGACTCTCTCTCTCTCTCTCTCTCTCTCTCTGTATGCTTATTAACTTTTATTGCAAAGAGAATGAGAGTTTTACTAGAATAATTTTACGTATTATTACATCAGCATTAAAGATAAGAAATAAATAGAGATGCTATACCGTTGTCTTTTACTCTTTTACTCGTAACAAACAAACGCTGTACACGATTGTTCTTCCCTTTCGGAGCAAGAAAACCGATAATACAGAATAGTTAAACATTGCGCTAATTGATTACACCACCCCTCATTGTTTACGAATTACCATGTCCGAAAGAATTTTTGTAACATTATTGAAAATCCCATAACGGCCGATTGCAATAAAGTCTTAAGGAACAAGGCTAGGCATGTGTGGGGGGGGTGGGGGGGGGGGGGGGGGGGGGGTAAATAATATTTATAAATAAATTTAATCACATTGATTATAAAAAGTTCCCCCTGTGATGAAGGGAGGGGGGGGGGAGAGAAAAGAAATTATCATCGATTTAACCGTTCATTGTGATTAAAAGCTGTTTCATGTTCTTGAGCGATTCGTTGGCTGGTTGATTTGGATGCAGCGAGAGTTAATCATTACAATGCAATCGAATCGAATAAATGAAATTCAGTTTACAAATGCTACGTTAAGCCTTATTTATTAAGATATAAAAAATTAAAAGTTAGTCTTCTATAATTTTGCTTTTGTGACGATTGGATACTCACTCGCTACTCGCATGTTACTCATTTGTAAATAACTTATCACTGGATATCCATTACTTTGTCACAATAATAAAAGTAGTAGTGGAATGGTGACGAGCTTTAAAACTATTTAGAGCTTCGTGATCGAGAAAATACTTATACGTTACATTGGCAGTGGCAAACACTTCAACACGACACTATTCTTGCACCCTCCCCTTGGCTCCACCGTCTAAGTCTAAACATTATCCAACTGTAAGGCAGTACTTTAGCCTTAAATACTCACAGCATTTTGTATCATCATCGCCCGCTGATCTCTCATCGATCGTACAATATCCAGGGGATACACTGGCTGATTGGCCTCGATAAGGCACAGTGCGGTTTCCATAAGCACAAGCACCCCCGTGCGTCCGATACCCGCGGAGCAGTGAACGACAGCGGGCTCGACGATCCCCGTGCGGGCGGCTCTCACTCGCTCGGTAAACGTCGTGAATTGCCTCCAGTCGCTTGGTACTCCGTGATCCGGCCAGGCACAATATTGCATGTGCGTTATGTCTCTCTCTTCGCCCGTCTGCGGATTTACAACAATATGACGTATTCGTGAATTTTACTCTCGACGATGCAGGATATTATGATTGTCGTAAGAATTGCGAATCAGCTAGGCACGTGTCGATTAATGGCCAGTTGTAATTAATTTTCTTACTCGATACTCGAGAACCTGTCTGGCTTTCGAAAAAACTTTCATCTCACGCTTTAGTGGCGGCGAAATTTTCATTCGACTCCAATTATTGTCTACGCTGTTTAATAATAGCTCTAGGGCTTTCATTTGACTCGTAATTTTTTTTTTTTACACGACATTCGATCAACATTTTATCGAAAGCCATAAAATGTACTTTTTTTTTATTGAAGCAATTAGTTATTGAAACATTATTAAAAGATTAGTTTAAGATTTTTTGTAAAATTTATTAATAAGCGCTCGATCGTCGTGTGATTATCATTCATCGTTGCTTTAATTAATTTTCAAGGTCAACGAGTTCTATTTACATTTAATAAACACTACTCATAAATATTAAACTATTATTTACTAGTGAATTTTCTTTTTTGCATTCGTATAATTTGAAGGTAGTAACTTTTAAAGGTATTTGACTCTATTAAATATACATTCATTCAACTTCACTTTCCATTTGGCTTTACCATTTGGCGAAATGGTAATTATCGTTAATCTGCGGCTGAAAATCTCTTGTTATTGAAGAAACTTACATTGGTATCGGTGAGAACGAATTCTCGAAAAACAAAGGTTTCTTCAACGGTCTCGGAGGTACAGAGTAACGTAAGATTTCTTAATGTAAGTATTTCCTTGAGAGCCGGCCAATATTGATGGCATTTTGCTCGTCCACGCTCCACCAGCGTTGTCAACATTACAACGAGTGTGCTGCCAGCTTCCAAGACCATCTGCCAGAAATCGGCAATCGTCGTTGATAATGGACCTTGTGTCGCTATATATCGATTTATTATCCCCGAGCCAGGAATCTCCATGTTAACGTAATTAGCATTTATGTAATCACCATTTGAACAGCCCATTAAAATAACTCTAGTTACGTCATCTGCAAAGAATGGTCATTAAAATCATTAGTTTTATTTTTGGCGATTTAAGGGAAGTAATGTCAATTCCATGTCAAATGATAGATAAATTCAACAAGACACGATATTTGTATGTATAATTATTTTACTAAAAATATTAACAAAAACATTTTAAATTTAATATCACAATGTTAACTCATAGTGAAATATTAGTCTATCAAGTTCAATTGAGTTTTAATATCATTATCTAATAACTTTTTTTTTTTTTTTTTTTTTAAATATTCGTAATCGCATATTAACCAAAATTCCACCGGTTGCGAAATTTTTATATTTTGTAATCTATTTGGTCGAATGTATAAGTATGTAATTTAAATTTGACGATACTTACATGGAGAAATATCTCGGTATCTGTTTTTGTTTTGATTTTCGGATTTCTTTGATTCTAAAGAAGAGAGCTCTGGATTTTTCCTATAAAGCTGTTCGTATTGAGCAATCAATGCTCCGCTAGCCAAACCATCGGCGAGTAGCAACATCGATTGTGCAAGTGCATCCGAACCAACTGCAGTATGTGGTACATCCGGCACGTACCTTTATAAAAGAAATATAATGTTAATATGACTTTACGCGGCGAGACATTAAGAAATTAATACAATTAATTGGCTAGTGGCTATTTTATAATTATTAACGCCATTACTGTAATGAGAATGAATTATGCTTTGCACTTGGCACACTATAGTACTTTCTAAATAAATTCATTTTAAATGATAAATCGAGACTCGATATCAATAATAATAATAATAATAATAATAATAATAATAATAATAATAATAATAATATCAACAACAACAATATTGTTTATTAAAACACTTGCATAATTGTAAATTAAAAAACAAAAACAAAAAAAAAAAAACAAAAAAAACAAAAAAAAAGAAAAGAATGTGTCGTTACCTGTAAGGAGGCTCTTCTTCCAAGGTTTCCTCAGTACCTGCTAGAGCATTATACAGTGCATTAGGTCTCACGGTCAACGTGAGTTCGCCAGTACCAGAATCACGCGATTGTCTTATTAAATTTACAACATGCTCGTGTAACATTCCATTAACGTCGATTCCATTTATATAAACAACTTGGTCGCCTTCGTTTAGTTTTGGATAGCAACGATCGGCAGGTGTATTGGGTGCAACGCGCGATACCAATATTGGCATGTCCAGGTCCAAACCGCCCTTGACATTAAACCCAAAACGACCCTGTTCGTCTGGAGTAATTCGTATGGTTACCAATCCTTCTTCCAAAGCCTAAAATCAAAGCACATCATAGGATATATTTTTCAAAGGATCCTGAACTGCTAAAAGCGTGGCTACTTTCGCATTATAAAGCTTAATTCTTAATTAACGTTTCAAAATTTTCTGACTTCTTTTTACGCATGTTTCCGCATTATCAGAGATTCTATTCCTATAACTTTCACATAAGAGAAAATTTAATAGTATCTCTACGGCTTAACTTAACTTATGCTTCAATGTAACGATTTATTAAACTATCGTAAAGAAAAAAACTCGTCAATTGAAAACTTTACCCATTGAGAATATCTCAACGTTTATATTCAATTACCATTTCGAATAATTAATATGTAATTGATTTGTGCGGGTTACAAAAAAAAAAAAAAAAAAAAAAAAAAAAAAAAGTCTCAATGAATTGATTTAATCTTAGGCTACGTACTTGCGGAGCTGGTGAACTCGTGGGCTCGCTGTAATCCGGGATGTCGTAAATATTTCTTTCCAACGTTGTATCATCATCCGCGTAGCTTAAGACTCGAGACCCTAACATTGGTGAGAAAGCACTACCGGTACCCTGAGTATGCGTCCCTGTCACTTCGTCTCTAAGTGACAGAAAACCTCCCTCGCTGTTAAACAAAAAAAAAGTTCGCCACAACGTAAATCATTATAATTTTCGTGACTGCTTTATGTAAAATTTTTTCAACTGTACGAATCTTTTTAATATAAGATAATCGATATGCAGATACATGCAGGTGAAATAAATTTTATTTAAAAGTCGCTAAAATTTAAAATTGATAAAATTGAAATTGAAAAACGGCAATGTAGATATGGACATACTCGTCACTTTGATTTCCTTCTCCCCATGCTTGACGAGGTTCACGCGGACCTAAAGACTGAACCTTATTATCGTACGTCCTGGGTGGCCTGCCGGGAGTTAATAACTTTCCCTTTTCATCCGACATAGGCACGGGTAAAATTCCATGAATCAATTTTTTACTAGGTGATCTAAAAATCCAATGTTATAGTTAGGATAATCAATGAAAAATTGGAGGAGAAGTGCAAAAGCTCCGGCCCACTCGAGATGAGCTTTTCATGGGAAAGATGAATGTACCTGATGAAAGTCCTTTCCACTCGGGCTCGATGCTTTCCATCTTCGACTGTTTGGAATTCGGTACGACCAGAGTACGTGAATCGACTGCTAAGAGCCAGTGGAAACCGACGTGGTCGTAGCTTAGGACTATGTAACCTGAAGAAAGTATGGTGCTCCACGCACGATTTCCACAGATTTTTCGAACTACGATACGTCTGCATATTGAAACCTAATAATGTATCATAATTCTCGGACTGGAATAATAAAGAAAATTGCCTTTTAATTGTTTATAAATTTTTATCAAAGAAGTTTTTTAATTCTTAAAACTACTATTTAAAATGTAGTATAGTAAAATGTTACTTTATTATTATTTAAAAGGCCAATAAATTTATATACAAATATTTTACATATTTATTTATGTTTTTCTAAAAAATCAATTTACTTTTCTTGTATGTTGATATATAAATCTTTTTTTTTTCTCTCGTCACTTTTTTTTTTTTTTTTTTTTAATTACAGTGAACTACTTTATTAATAAAAGCACTCTATAATATATCTTGAAATAAAAATTTCAGAATTTCCTTGATACCTGTTCTCTCCTCAGCTGAATGAAAAATTGTTTACGCTTGAATGAGATCTTCACAATTTTAGACCAGGAAAAAACATTGATTCTTATGTTATTTTGGAAGATAACCAATCCTATAGATGTTACACCTAACTGGATCTCTTTGTTTACAGAATCCTGTTTCATTACAATATTTACAAACAATATATAAAAATGTTATTGCAAGTTCATCAAGGATGATTGGAATATTATAATAATAAAAATCAAGAGTAAAGTTAATTATAGAAAATTGGAATGAATAAATTATTAAAATAAAGATGGTACAGAGACAATAATAAAAGAGCATACCCTTGCCTTATGCAATTCTACTCCGTACATGTCAAGACGTTTGGCATGATCAAGAAAATTAAATTCAGCATCAGCTGGCAGTTGACCTCTAAAACATCAAATTTATTTGTTAAAAATGGAACTATTCTTACAAATTTTCATGCCACACTGAGCCAATGCACGCAAAAAATAATTACTTATGCAGCTTATGTAATTCTGAAATTTTTCTCTCCATTTCTTCGGTTTGTCCTGGTATTAATTGTAAACGCGAAAGATATCCAGGTCCATGCTCTTCTGGATGATAATCTCCAAGTTCGGCTATAATGGAAAGTTTCGTCATTTCGTCACAATGGTAATTCGAATTATTTAATAAAAATCTTCTTTATCCGTTCAAAAATTGATAGCGATATAAGCTTACGTCTTATAGTTTTTGTATATGTTATTATATATAGACTTACATTGGACGGTATAACTTGCAATAAGGCAAGCAGTACTCGGAGGTAGTTGAAGTTTTCCTTGTAAAATGTCTCTTCTTATTTGCAAATAAAATTGATATCTTGTATATTCTTCTTGTAATTTACTTGGATCCGATACATAAAATTTTACCCTAAAAAAAAATTGCCCTCCTTTGCTTCTCATTTGTTTTTTAACTAATTTCGAAGGATCCAGCCATCTCTATAAGCAACATTTATATAATATTAAATATTTTAAATATTCAAACAATTATTATTATACATAATATATTGATGTATATTGTATGTAAAATAAAATCATTAAATATTACCATTATATCAAGATTGGGACACGTTGAGACTTGTCCATTTTCAGCATATTGTAAGCCAAAGTAATCTTTCTCTATAAGCTCTAAGTGTTGAAATACTAGATCCAAAAGTGCTTGCCCTTTTGCCCTTTTCTATAAAACATTAAGCATCGATCGATCATCCATACATTATATTATCGCTACATTTGAAAATCAATGCATCCACTTAAGAATAACAATTACATATTGGTAAGATGTATTTGACATTGACTTTTCTATCGCACTCACATCTAGTTGAAAAGTATGCTGGGTGTCATCTAAAAAGACAACAGTGGCTGAAAGGGTCTTGAGTCTTCTATCTCGCGCCAGTTCTGCACCACGAACGTGGTAGCTCCCACTGGAGCCACTCAGCGCTCGACGTGACACACTTTCGATCATCTCAAGAAACCGAAGGCGAGTTAGCCACCTTCGCGGCACCACCTCACTGACACTTTGATCACCTTATTCAATAATACACATGTTGATTATTATAATTATTTTTGTACAATGATTCACTGTTTATGAACAAAGATTTTGAAATAAATATATAAATTCTCCTTGACTTTTGCTATTATACAACATTTTATTACTTAAATGCAAACTGCACAGAAATGTTAATCTACTTTAATAACCTACGATCCATTATAGACTATTATCGATAGACTAATATTTCAAATGTAAATATCCATTTGCTTTTATATAATATAATAATGTATAATGATAATGGAGCTTATATTTTAATGTTAAATAACTAAAAGTAGCAACTATTAAAAATTGTAAAATAAATATTTATCGCACTTAATGATATAGATATTTTCTTAATTTCTGCTCTACGGTCACCGCATACATTCACATTATTTACAAGCAAAACAAATTTCAGCTTAATTAAAGAATTTATTATCTTGGGTCGATAATAATAATTCCAAATAAAATCACATTTATCCAATTAATGGTAAAAATAATTTAGTTATTACTGTATATCTAATTGTTAATAAAAATATTAATTATTTTCTCCATAAGCCATGAGTATTACAGTTGTTACTCCTACATAAGTATCAAAGAATAATTTTATTTAATAATCATTTTATTCTTCTAATTATCTTATGATTGATATAATATAATGGACATTATGCTAAATATCAAGAAGTCAAACAATAAATATTTTAACACACTATAATTCTTGAAAAGTCAATTTAAAGAAATTTGTAGGTTCGTTATTGCATTCGATGCAAATTTATGTGAAGCAATATTTTTTATTTTTGCTGCCTGTTTTGCGCCATACTTGCACTTTTTCACAACGAGCTTAAACAATTTTTGCCTAACTTGACATACTCATCAACAAATCCAAAGTATGTTTAAGCATCAACTTTTCAGTAACGGGAATGAAATTATTAAAAATTATTACAAAGCAACAAATGCTTAATTAAATATCTTAATTTTTAATCGCACATGAGAATATTATTTTTTTTTTTCAAGTACTTTTCAAATATGGAATAGACTTTATAGAAAAGCTAATTTGTACAATTAATGAAACAGTTTGCAATATGCTGTTTATACAACAAATGAAACTTTCATTTATAAACATTTTAAAATTATATAAGCACTTTCTTTAATAATAAATAATAATATAATAAGATTTCGAAATAATTTTACATATGTTAGCTTATAATGTAATTGTGCTTGTTATGTTAATGTAAATTTTTAAATAAATATTTTTACACTAATGTTTATGGAAATATTGAAAAATTTTCTTAACTAATAATAAAAGATAAATGTATATAACATGAAATATCCTTGAAATAATAACTTCAATAATGGCATAATCTATTTGAAAATCATCATTTTAAAAAAACACTTGATTGAACATAAATTATATTCTTATTCTCCTCTTAGCCACTCTGAAATAGATTGTGCTAATTATGCTTTTAAATTTTATTTATACTTTTGTGATAAGCATATGCATATACCATTTTTTACTTTTTAAATTAATAATTTAATATTATTAGCACAATGACACATGTTCTTTGCTTCACAAATCTATGAATCAGAGCAATACACAATCATTAAAACTAGTATTAAGCAAGCAATTGGCAAATGTCAAGCAGCAACAAAAT